TACATTCGTAATACCTGACCTGTTCTATACCTATGCATTTATATTATTACGGCTTCCTTGCATTGTAAACACTCAAATTTCAAGAAAGGCGCGCTAAAATTATCAATATTTCAATTTCATGCAAAAAAGTTGTTTTGAGAAACGTTGGAAATTTTGAAGTTCACATATATATATATTAATAAAAAAAGAGTATGTCAGCAGAAGATGACATATTCCTCGCGGAAGCATCGCCAATAGCCGACCGAAAAAGTAGTAGAAAATTACCTTATGTGTACTATAAGAACAAAATATCGATAACTATGTGTGACGTTTCTAGGGGGGTGGGGGGTGGGGGGGTCTCCAGAGAAACGAACATATGACGTTTCTCATGGACAAAATCGATATGTGAGGCTTCCCTAAGTAACTTGTGAATTACGCCAATGTAACGAATTGAAAAAATTTAATGTCAAAATGCTGAAAGAAATCTGCAGCGAATTAGAAGTACATATATATATATATATACATATATATTTATATATATATATATATATATATATATATATATATATATATATATATATATATATATATATATATATATATATATATACATAGTTAACCACATATACGTCTTCTTATATCACGAAGATTAGGAAACATACCTTTAGAAGTGACAGATAAAACGAAGGGACTAGCAAAATACTACGCCTTGTTAATGTACTATAGACCACATGCTCAAAAATAATTGGCATTGGTGTAGCCAAAACCTAGATATATAAATGTGATACGTAAAATTTCTTGCGCGAAAACTGTTGATCAAGTTAATTTAGAAAATGAACATCATAGTCTGGCGAGAGTACATAATAATTACTTGAAAAATCTACGCCCAGTCCGAGTTATTGAAATCCCAGTCAATAAAAACCCCTTTATTTATCGGTGCAATAAACAGTGTTAAGACTTTTAAGCCACCGTGTGTGCAAGTGACGAACACTTTATGAAATATTGGGGGAGGTTCGTGCCGAAGGCACGGAAAATTTTAAAATTTGAATCCCGGAAATAGCATTTGCAGCATTCTGAGACACGCATAATCAGAAAACCCAGAATTTCGGGCGCCAGAGTATGCCTGTTCTCAGGTAGTGCTGTGAATAATATAGTTAACAACAAAAATCATAACCAAAGACACCAAAAACGGATCAAAATTGTATTTTAAAATACTTAAAACGTAGAAAAATTGGGAATCGACTCGCATTACCTCAATCCCATTCCCATTTTTGAGGACTTCATTTCCCATTCCCAGTGGCCAAATCCCAGTCCCAGCAACCCAAATCCCATTTTCCCAGTCAAAAAATAGATCAATCCCAGTTCCCATTTTACCCCTTCAGGACCCTCTACCTGCGAACAGACATACTCTGGCGCCCGGAATTCTGGGTTTTCTGATTATGCGTGTCCCCAAGTCAGATGCACAGCGGAATATATGCCTGGTTTCCTGTACATACTTCATTTAACCCTTAGTATATACCTCAAAGGCAAAGCACAACAAAAAATACTCTCATGTTGGACCTGAAAGGTCATAATAAAACTGTTTATTCTACCGGGTTTTTTTTTTACTGGGATTTCAATAACCCGGACTGGGACTGGGATTTTGCCAAAAGTTTAGGTGGGAAGCGTAACTTTATAAGGAGGTCAGATATGAACATGCAAAATCAGTTCAACAAAATGTCCGTCTTGAATGTCAAACAATTTCAGAAAATATCCAAAAACTAAAGCAAGAAGAATTCAAGGGCATTTAAGCACTTCTTTACAAATTCAAGGACATTCAAGGCCTTTCAAGTTTTGTACGAACCCTGGTTATATATTACACATGTAGTAGAAGCTTTTACCTAAATTATTTCCTTTCGAAGGGAATTATTGTTCTTTTCAGTAACAGGCAATTCATGTCATTCATACAACCCACTAGGTGCTACCCCACCACCTTTATACCCACTCTTGTTTATTCGTGGTCTTACACTACCATGTATATCAACACAGTGGTTGTGGTATGTCCTCAAGTATTCACACGGATTGAGAAGTCTCCTTTTCATCTTGTTCCTTAATACCCAAATCAGTTTGTTTTCCGCTCCAAGGACATTCATATCATAATCCAACTCCGCCAGAACAGATTCGTCTAAAGGTTGTGTAAGCACAAAAATATAGGTATCGTGCGAACCGAAATAGCTTACTCCACAATATCCAAGTTTTCCGCCCATATTGCATCTTTTTTCCTGACGTCCATGGCGTGTTAAAATGTAAGATATTTTACTTTTTACTAGAAATGTTTTGTTTATCATTTCAAATCCTTCGCCAAGATAAATATCCATGTTCATCATAACCACAAACCGATTTTGGAGCCTGTCGTTTACGTAATCGAAAAAATCTCTGTATTTCGGCAAGGCGTTGATGCGATGTACAAATATTTTGTGTTTGTTGTGAAAATTTTGTTCGCTCAATCTTTGTTCGGCCAATGGCTGATTAACGAGAAGATGAACGGCTGTGACTAAAGTGTGGTTGAGATTTTTCTGTAATGTTTCTTCTATTTCTTCCTGTCGTTGCCATAGTCTGGATATATTGGTCTCTGTTTGGTTTTCGTTCCAGGGTTTTTCAGTCATCAAGGGATAGTTAGTTATTACATGGATACCTGATTCCTCCTTAGCTTTTAGCCAGGCGAAGCAGTATAAGGTAAAAATCGCTCCAGAAACCAAAAATAACCTGAAGTACACTTTCCGTTTAAGGATGGCCATTCCTTGCAAGATTCAGGATAATTACTAGGGATTTATCTATTAGAAGGCGACACGTGTTGGTTTCATTTAACAAGTGAAGACTTATGATGCGTTTCTTCAAAATCGATCTTTCACATCAGCCTAAATATAGATTATGAATCTTTTAACATAAATAAAATATTAATCTTCTAAAGATTAATAACTTACAGTCAAACCGGATGTTCTGTTCAATTGCAATTTTGATTGCGAGACTGCTCTGAGGAAGTTGCAACCGACGTGATCAAATTGCAAGTTAAAATTCACAACCAGATTTGTAAACAAAGTCTTTGATTGGCTACTAGTAGCAAAGAAGAACCAATCCCTTTGCTCTGAGTATTTCATTGGTTCTTCTTTGCTACTAGTAGCCAATCAGAGACTTTTTTTTACAAATCTGGTTGTGAATTTCACGTCGGTTGCAACTTGCTCACAGCAATCTCGCAATCAAAATTGCAATATTCCCAACAATATTGCAATATTCCCTGAATATATACAGAACATCCGGTTTGACTGTAAAAGTTTAAAACAAAACAATTCCTTTGATCAAATTATGGGGCGATATTCCTAGGGGGCGATATTCCCCCGGGGGCGATATTCCTAGGAATATCGCCCTCTTTTGAGAGGGGGGCGATTCTCCTAGGGGGGGGGGGGCGAAAGTCATTAATGTCATGGGGGTAGAAATGCCAGTGCCAAGTTTGGAAATGAGGTACTAGAAATGGGACAATCTCATACTATGTAAAGTGTAATTGTTTTTGTTTGTGGAAACACCACGTAAACTTATTACTGCAAAGCTTTCGATCCGTAAGCCCGGATCTTCATCAGTGCTAATAATATGCACATCAGTGCTAATAATATTATATTTTATCGCCATGCAAACATTCAAAGAACTTATGTAAAGTGTATTACGATATTACAGTTTATATGGCTAAGCCTGGAATTTTACTTTTCTCACGAGGGAATTTACCTTGTCAGTTGTCATGTAATGACAGAGTCAGAGACCAAGCCACATTATCTAAATCACTCAAAACTAGTTGCAAAGACATGCTCGCCATTCTACCCTGTCGAAACTTTAATATCCTAAAATACTCTTAACGGATTGAAACAGAAAAGGATAAACAGTAATTAAAAGTGTTCGAGGAATAACCCCATGGCCATGGCTTACAATTTTCCAGAAATTAAGTAGTGAATTGTAGCAAAATGGCGATTTAACGATTTAATGAGATTTGGCGACCAACAAAAATACAACATGTATAGTGCCTGGTAATATACGCCATTTTACATAATTACATTAGCATTAATCTAGACAGTGTAACAAACTTACAAAAGCACATCAGACAACTAATAACATCTTAACACACTTTCCAAGGACTGATCCTTCAACATTTAACACATACAGCTATAGATTTCCATGTACGAGGATCATTACAACTGTATGTGTTGCATAGCGCGTTCTCATAAGCCTGTGTTGCATATATAGCGCGTGTTGCATAGCGCGTCCTCGTAACCCTTATTTAGAAGCATGCAGTCCAATATCTCTATGATGAAGGTCACAACTTAAAATGTTCAATCGGTCTTACTAGCTCGAATAAAGTAGGCCTAAGAAATCTGGAAAGTAACAGTCTTTGCAACATTTCGCAACGAAACTTTGGAATATTACTAATTTTGTGCTGCTCTTTCAAGCTGTGATGAAATTTTTGTCTAGATCAAAATTTAGTCTATAATGCAAATGGTCCATTAGATCCAAGTATATTCGTGCCAATATGTTATTGGTAAAAGGTCAAGTTGTAGTATAGAACATTAATTGGTGATGAAGCCGAGCTTTAAAAAACTATGGTACACACCTACCATGGCAAGTGTACCATGGATTTTTAAAACTTATGCGCCATCAAAAATTTTTTTTGAATATTCTACAAGCATTCCAAGAATGTGACGCTCGATCATGGACGCGAAGCCAACATCGTTGCTGCCTGACGTATATACGAAACTAAAGTTCTTTTTTATATAAAAGAAGTCACAATTATATTGTGAAGTGCATCGTTTTATATGAAGTTTTTTAGCGGACAAAATATCTGAAATGTATCAATCGAGTTTATGCGCTATAAATTGATGTTATGTGCTATACATTGATGTTATGTGCAAATACATCGATGTCATAAACCGATACAACTAAAAGATAAACCGATGCAACTAAAAGATAAACCGATACAACTAAAAGATAAACCGATACAACTAAAAGATAAACCGATACAAATAAAAGATGAGGAAACGGAAGTAAATACCAATAAAAGATGAGGAAACGGAAGTAAATACCAATAAAAGATGAGGAAACGGAAGTAAATACCAATAGGAAGCGGAAGTAAATCGGAAAAACGGAAGTTGAGCGACGCGGCGACATACAACAATGGCGTCTCTTGGACCACGCATTTGGCTTCCTAATACAGAAAACTTTAATTTTTCGTGAATTGGTCGATTTAATAAGAAATGCTGAACAAAGTCGCACTCATTGTGACTCGCCAGACTTTTATTGTCGTAGATTAGAAGTGTATGAACGTACATTGAGTGTTTTGACAACAAGAATCACCGAATCATACACAACGGAGCAGCATATAATATGTACTTATTTAAGAAATGAATTCGACGTTATTGTTGAAAATTATGAACGGACCTCAGAGCGCTTTTCAATAGAAGAGTGTTACGATCGTGCGGTTTGTACGGCGGAAAGAAACGGGCTCGTTGGTAGGCCAAAAATACAAGTCACAGAAGAGCAGTTAACCACATTTCTGTTTAAGTTTAGATATAGGTAATGAGAACCATATTGGTGTCCTAGTAGGCCTAATAAATTTATGCCACAATAGTCCCTAAATGTTAGATCAAAAATGTAGTGTGAAATATGATAGTGTGATGGCCTCGTGTTGTTGGCACAATTTATGCTTGTGAAAATAGTGTTGTATTTGATAAGCCTGAGAATAAAAAATAAAAAACCACTTGTATATGTATAAATGTGAATCTAAGAAATATAAATGTAGGTGTAGACTTTTGGAACATAAAATTGGACATGCGTGTGTGAAATTGTTCGGTAAAATATCCTGTGGTGTATGAGTATGATCTCGCTGAGTAAAAAGCTTGTATGGAGGCATGTAAAATATATAAGGCGAGAGAAGGAGATAGTCATGTGTGTAAAATTCAGTATCCCTGAAAGGCTGGCTGCGGCACAGACGCATTATTTGGTACACACGAGTTCTGAGTATGTGGTATTCGGAAACGAGAATTCAGTTCTTCGGGTAACGATGTGAACTGCTGCACTTAACCACCTTGTAATGCGTTTTCTTCACGTGTTTGCGAAGAATGCTGTAAATTGGTCACCGCGCCTAGGATAGACTGAACAAAATCCTGAACATTTGATATTCTGCCCTGTCTCTCTTCTGCCATGTTTTTCAATATGTATTCACCAGCTTGGCGCCACTACTTGGCACGCGCAATTTTGCCGCGTCGCTCAACTTCCGTTTTTCCGATTTACTTCCGCTTCCTCATCTTTTATTGGTATTTACTTCCGTTTCCTCATCTTTTATTGGTATTTACTTCCGTTTCCTCATCTTTTATTTGTATCGGTTTATCTTTTATTTGTATCGGTTTATCTTTTAGTTGTATCGGTTTATCTTTTAGTTGTATCGGTTTATCTTTTAGTTGTATCGGTTTATGACATCGATGTATTTGCACATAACATCAATGTATAGCACATAACATCAATTTATAGCGCATAAACTTGATTGATACATTTCAGATATTTTGTCCGCTAAAAAACTTCATAGTTTTAAGAGGTAGAACTTTTTTATAGAACCTGCATATAGTTTCATTGTGAGGCAATGAAGATCTGTGTACAAGAATTGCGTTTTCAAGTATGAGAGCATATTATATACAACGTCTCAGTTATTCGTACAAAAACTACGCAATAATATACCTAGGCGTTCAAATTTCCTGTAGATCCTGTACAAATCTCCTGTAGATTTTCTTACACGATCAACTACAATATCACACTTTGAACAAAACAACAGACCGTCGACGTCTTCAACGTGAAAAGTACCCTTGGGGTATTTGCTTGCTCGCTGTTTTGCATTGATGTTGACAGCAAAGTGGGATTTCTATGAGGCGCCAAATATGACAAAATAGATCATAGTTGTGTGATATATATTACTACAAATATATACAATATAACTCGTGATGAATAGGTTACTCTTCCAAATATATAAATATTGAAAGCGCGTGATATACGTACATTACAAATCATGGTTTATATCACAACTCGTGATATAGATCACAATTCACAATGCAGCTCGTGATATAGGTTACAAATCATGGTTTATATCACAACTCGTGATATAGATCACAATTCACAATGCAGCTCGTGATATAGGTTACAATTTCGCGTTCGGAATTACTTCATCTTATGACCCATATAGTGGACGGAAGGCTATTTTATATTCCGGGGGGGGGAGACATTACATTGGACATATTCATTGTTGATGCTTCGCGCCTTCGCTTCAATTTTGATGACAATGGCCGACACGCGTGGAGATGTCGAATCTGTTGTTCAAAATGTGGTAAACAGTCCTCAGTTTCGGTCGCTTGTAGCAGATGTTATCGAAAGCTCAAATTACACCTATCAATTACCAAGTAAAAACTTTACATACAGTACATGCTAACTTCAATTACGATATTTCTACAATGGATTTACATAAAAAAGACACAAAACAACGCACGAATAATACGCGTGCACCCTTTTATACAATATTTCACGGCATGGTCTAATTTCAACCAGTATGGAATAAAGGCGATGTGCACGGCGCACATGTGCCGTGCACAAAGGCTGCTATCGGTGCACAATAATCCCTCTTTGGTGCACATTGGTGCACACAATTTCCTTCTGTTATTGGTGCACAAAAAATTTGGATTTTCACAACGTACGTTATCTATATATATTTTTAATA